CAGCTGTTTCGTCCTGTTTGGGACTCGTCAGCAGTGCGTACTTTTTGTGTCCCTGTCAGGACTCGAACCGCGTTCAGTCGAGTCGGGACTTCAAACCCTTACCCTTGGGCTACACGGTTGCTGGTTATCACCTTGTGCAAATGGCTCAATCCATGTAGATCATCAAGAGTGCCTGGTGCCTCTGAACAATCGAATGGGCTAATCCAAGCTTGATACTCTATTAGCCGGTTGTTTTGTGGTTCATCTGTTCCATCTCTACTCCCCGCGCTCTAACTTACTTTCCCGTTCACTCACTTCTAGGTTTAAACATGCAGTGGCACTGTCCTTTTTTTGTTTATTACCTATAGTATAAACAAGGTAAACGATTGTTTTCAGAAAATCGTGCTCGTTCGTTTGCTCTTGAATCACAGTACACATTCGGTCACTGTGTGAATAGATAGTTTGAGGAAGATAGATGAGTACCAAACATCTCTTTGACAAACTAGTACTTTGTCCATCGATCAAGCTGAAAACGTTGATAGATATGCTGTATTTACTTGATACAAATATGTACCTGAATTTTACTATTTTGTGGGATCTACATTCTCTCACAAGTGTAGTTACTTAAATTGGTTGTCATCTATACTTCAAGTTTGATTTACGCAATAATTCTGGTTTGGATGACTCCGTTTTTAGGATTCCTGGAACCCGAAAAACTTTTCATGTTATGGGGTCTTACTTAGCGAGCGGAGCAAGTTTGGTTGATCGTGCGTATGATTAATTCCAGCACACGTGTCATTCCTATCTGTCCTCTCATCCTTGCACGTGATTAGGGACTCCGAGATTATATTTTTTTCTGGAATCAGTCGAAATGACCACGGATTATGAAGTCAATTTTTTTGAATATGCATATGCAAATGAGATCTGGCAGTGCATAGTCTATATCCATTACCAAAGAGACCTTTTCTGTAGTTTTCACACCCAGCTTAACCCTACTCCAGCCCTCATTCTACCCACGGTTTTTTAAACACCGGGCTTCCGAGTGGATTGGGTAAGAGTGAAAAATGTTTTTTGTGTCGATGCGTTTTAAGCAGGGTACCTCAAAATCAGTTAAACTTGGTTGTGTGAATTCGATTAGGACTGGAATGAGATTATGACTTCTCAAAATGCTTCATCATATCGATCGTATGTGCACAACCTCCATCTGAACCAACGGTTTGACGCGCGCGTCTGCGCATCCATCTGGCGTTGCGTATCGTCAGTCAGACGAAACTGCCAGATGCACACCTTCTTACGAGTGACTCACTACGATCGCATTGATGGTATTGCACTGGCAGAATATGTTGTGTTTGTTGAGTCTGACTCTGGTCGGAAATTGATTGCTAATCATGCACCCGATGATACCACACCAGGCGTCCCCGAACACCGTCTGACTCGTTGTGGTGTTAATTTGAATCCATTAATCGAATTTATTCCGAACTACTAACAATGCATAGTCCAGGTTTGGACCGCGCTCTCTGCCCGTGCATTCGTAATGTACAGATGTAAAACCGTACAAGTTTTTCCCGTCGTTTTCGAACCGAGTGGGTCTGTGTCCTCTATGTTGAACTTGACACATTTGCCTTTTGGCTCTTCACATGAACATTCTATTTTCTGAACTTGTTGATCATGTTTAATCTTGTTCAGATGGCAATTTATTTCACCACGCCTCGCGTCTATTACACAATCGCCTATCACCCTCTTGTTCTCGTTCACGACACTTTTTCACTTGAATAAATATCTACATAAACTATCCTGTATCGCGTTTGAAAACATAAACTGAAAAGTTCGGAAATACCGTACAGTTATGTTCACTTGGTTTGGTCTCATCATCAACCTACCCACTTGATCGACTGAAGGCAGTTGATCAAACCGATTCTTTACTTGCACACAATATAGCACAATCCGTCTTCACAGTTCACCTCACTGTTGGTTACGATACAAATTGTTAAATGTTGAGCTATCTTTTGCCACATTGCCTTTATGGTTCCCCTGTTTATCTTCCTCAATCTATACATCGAGACGCTTCAACTCATCTCCTTTGTGACAGGTTCGGATTGTTCCTGATCGAGTCACTCATAAATAGTGCAACTCTCCTATCGGCCCAATCGATGTCACCGGTTATTCGTACGTAGCTAGAATGAAATATCCCCAAATAATAAAAGTTCTTATCCTCATATACCGTGACAAGTGAGTCGGTATTTGAGAATGGAAAAGCAGTGGCTGTTTATTTCTCTCAACTTAACAAGTATAAGAAGAAATTACAAATTACAAACATGGCAAGTACCTCCGCTTAATAGGGTGATTGCGATCATCTCAACTTACACTCATTGACTACTTATTGTGCATACACTCTATGAACATCCATACGCATTACTGCCTGACTTTAATGGGCATTTATAACATGTGCACTGCAATTGAACTTGAATCGTTTTCACTAGAACTGCTTTTGAATAGAGAAATCAAAAACATGGGTTGGCACAATATATCCACGGCCATTTCGATGCATCTGTATACGTGCATACCACATACTGTTTTTCCCAATCTTGAAGGATTTATCGCATGCCGATTGCACCAGCATCCTCGATTCACCTCAGCCACAAACCTCGGACTTGGTCGTAGTGGATCGCCTGTGTCCACAGGACCCACAGCGACTCGCCGGTTTCGACGGAATGCCAGTGTGCATTACCTGGATACCAGTCGAATTGAGCCAGTAAAAAATCGAAACCGAAGTGGAACTGACTCGTCTCATTCTATCGATCGTACCACACCTAGCCCCAGGGACTACCAAACCGCAAGTCCGACGATCATACCCACCTGCGGTCTTGGGTGGAATGTGCCCGAGTGCGCTGTTTGTCAGGAGGAGTTGCGTAAAGCGACTCAATCCACGATGCCCGCTTTCCTTATCGCAATCATCAGGGGTGATGACAAACGTCGAAGGCAAATGTCCAGCCCCGCATTAATGTTGTCCTCGTTGCGCATGTTGGGACAAGGATGGACAATGGCTCTTGATGCGATTCGATCTGGTGCATTATCATTATATTGGCTTAGTCGTCATATGTTCTGTCTACCTTTACGGCTACAACTGGATGTACTGATTCATATCATGACGAAGTGAGTTGTACGTCTCCCTGGGACTGTTGTCTAGCGGTCTGCAGTGTGAATTAATCTCTGATCCCTAACGCGTTTAGTTAAATCTATTAATGAATAAAAGTTTTGGGCATTTTATTCAAACAAACCTCGAAATGCAACTCTTTTTCCCAATTTTACTTCCATACATTCAACACTCACCGCTGATATGGTAGCTAGAGATCAATGTCT